ACTAAATAACATCACTATCAAGGACATATTTCCTATTCCTACGGTCGATGAGTTGATGGATGAGCTAGGGAGAACTCACATTTTTTCTAAATTGGATTTGAGAGCAGGTTATCATCAAATCCGGGTCTGCCCTTCCAATGTTCATAAGACGACTTTTAGGACTCATCAAGGTTATTACGAATTCCTTGTAATGACTTTTGGGTTGACAAATGCCCCATCAACATTTCAAGCAACAATGAACCTGCTACTACAGCCATATCTCCGAAAGTTTGTTGCTGTTTTTTTTGACGATATTTTAATATACAGTCCTTCCCTAGATGTTCATCTGCACCACTTAAAAGTGGTACTTTCTACTCTGCAGAATAATCAATTCTATGTAAAGAGGAGTAAATGTTCATTTGCACAAAATAAAGTGGAATATCTTGGCCATGTCGTTTCATCCGAAGAGGTTAGTATGGACTTCACCAAAGTCACAACCATGCTGGAATGGCCTACACCAAAGAATCTCAAACAATTACGAGGATTTCTTGGCCTCACGGGTTATTATCGAAGATTTGTGTGTAATTATGCTGCCATAGCCGCTCCCCTTACTGATTTATTAAAGAATGATTCCTTCTTTTGGACGACAGCAACCCAACTTGCATTTGACCACCTAAAGACATCAATGTCATCAGCCCCTGTATTAGCCCTTCCCAATTTCGACCAGGATTTTGTGGTGGAGACGGATGCATCGGATTTGGGCATAGGAGCGGTGTTACTTCAAAATGAGCACCTTATTTCATATTTTAGCAAGAAGTTGACCTTAAGGATGCAGAAAGCTTCTGCATATGTACGCGAACTCTATGCTATCACTGAATCAGTTAAGAAATGGAGACAATATCTACTTGGAAGGAAGTTTCTAATCAGAACCGATCAGAAAAGCTTACGTGCCTTGCTGGACCAGGTAATTCAAACCCCTGAACATCAATATTATTTGGCTAAATTACTTGGATTTCAATATTCTATAGTATATAAGCCAGGAAAAGAAAACAGAGTGGTTGATGCACTCTCACGTTATCCCTCTGTCTGGTTACTCCAAACACTGGCAGTAGTGCATTTTTCCATCTTAGAGGACTTAAAAAAAGAGAATCAGAATAATGCTTTTTTCAAGCAAAAGTACCATCAACTAGCATAGGATCCAACTTCCAATCCAGAATTAGAGATTCGTGAGGGGTTGTTATTGAGCAAAGGAAAGTTATTACTAGATCCTAACTCTCCCCTAGTGCAGCAGGTACTCCAAGAAAATCACTCCTCTTTAGCTAGTGGTCACACAGGTATCCAAAAAACTTTAGCCAGAACTTCTGCCAGTTTCACTTGGCCTGGACTAAAGAAAGCTGTAAAGGAGTTTGTCAATTCATGTGTTGTGTGTCAACAAGTAAAGTATACAACCCAGGCCTCTGCTGGTCTATTGCAGCCTATACAACTCCCTACCAGAATTTGGGAAGACTTATCACTCGACTTTGCGATTGGCCTACCAATGTCTTATGGCCATACCACTATTCTAGTGGTAGTGGATAAGTTCTCTAAACAAGCACATTTCGGAGCATTACCAAAAAAATTTACTGTTGCCAAGGTGGCTGAGTTGTTTTCTCAGATTGTGTGCAAATTACATGGGCTTCCTGTATCTCTGATTTCAGATAGAGACCCATTGTTCCTTAGCAAGTTTTGGACTGAGTTATTTGAACTCAGTGGAACCAAGCTCAGACATACTACTGCTTATCAGCCACAATCGGATGGCCAATTTGAGGTGGTCAATAGGGTTTTGGAGCAATATCTCAGATGCTTTGTGGCTGATAGTCCAAAGAAGTGGTCCAAGATTTTACATTGGGCAGAGTATTGCTACAATACCACTTATCATAATTCTGCTGATATGACTCCTTTTCTAGCTGTCTAAGGCCGTGAACCTCCTTCTGTATTGGACTATATGAATTCTACTACTACAGTGGCTGAAGTAGATAGAATGTTAGTTGATAGACAAGCTGTTTTGCACCAGCTAAGAGAAAATCTGTTACAATCCCAAGAAACCATGAAGAGAAATGCAGACAAACATAGAAGAGATGTTATCTACAAGGTGGGGGATCTTGTCTGGGTTCAGCTCCAACCGTATAGACAATCTTCAGTGGCTAACAGTATCTCACATAAGCTATCCAAGCGATATGTTGGGCCATTTCCAATTCTGAAACGTATAGGACAGGTTGCCTACAAGTTGGCATTACCTCCATATGCCAAAATACACTATACTTTTCATGTGTCTTTGCTGAAACTATTTAAGGGAGATCACAATATTGTTCCCTTTCCTCTGCCCGAGTGCTTCCAAGGAGACTTACCAGTTTTAGAGCCTCAACAGGTACTGGCAACTCGCACTATTTCTCTGGAAGGTAATTCAGTTCAACAAGTGCAGATATTATGGTCTGGCATGTCCCCAGAGAATGCAATATGGGAAGCCTTGGAGGAGTTCTCTACACAATATCCCAATTTCAACCTTGAGGACAAGGTTGATTTTAATGGAGGAGGTATTGATACGGGCTCAATGTGCAATAGCCCAATATAAGAGTTGAATGACGCAACTATCCAAGTCGGTGATCAGAGTCCAAGGGAAGTACACCAAACTGCAGAAGTTACGGAAACAACACTGACAACAACTGAGGGCAAAGAGATGGAACCAGAGTTACATGCAGTTATTGAAGAGGAAGTGGAACCGGATGGACAAGAACTAGAGAGGCCCATCGCAGCAAGAAGATCCAAGAGAGTGATCAGAAGACCAAGGAGATTGGATGATTAGGCATAGCCAACAGTAATGATTGTGTACATGTGGTTGTATCGTTAGGGGTTCATAACAGATAGTGAGTTAGTTACATGTTGTTGTTTTACTTTCTGTTTGTTGTTAAAATTCATTGAAGGTATAAAAGGGGAAAAGCCAGTGTATGGAGAATTCAATTTTTGATGAAATAAGAAAAATTACTTCTTTCTCTGTTTTTTCTCAACCTCTTCTTCTTCCTTTCTTCTTCCTTGATAGAACTTGAATCTATCAGACCCGGTGCGACCCAGTCGATTTTCGTAAAAACCGGTGACCCGGTTGGTTCAACTGGTGACCCGGCCCGGTCTATAAAAAAAAACTAATTTATTTTCATAAATTAATGTCTTTTTTTTTTTACTCTAAAATATAAATGATTTGTTTTCTTTTGAAATATTTGAGTGATTTGTAACTTATTAACTTACATAGATTATATACCTACAACACTAATATTATCTTGATTATGTAATATGCGAGGAATTTTGATTTGATTTATAGTTAAAGATGTCGTTTACTGAACTTGAAACACTAGTATCATAAATATTATATGTTTGATTGAATTTTTGTTGGACAATGATATGTAATTTATTATTTTTATATTAAAATATTTGAAATTAGTTTATTTTTTATAAGTATTTAAGTATATTTATAATTTTTTTTAATATAAATTGTAAATCCATTGATTAAACCGATGACCAAGTAACCGAATACTATATCTCGATCGGATCAATAATTGGATCGAGTTTAATAACATTACTAAAAGTAACTACTTTCATTTGACTGGAGCAAACAAAAGTTTCATTATTCGCTAATGAAAAACTTTTTCAAAGCACCTAGAATTAATTAGTAACAAAGAAATCAGAACTTACTAGTGTTACCGTCACTGTTCGAGGATGCCACTGGCTTACAAATTCATGTGTTTTTTAGGTCAAAGAATCTGAAGCTGTCATCACATCACAAAGTAAATCCTCAACCAATAATCAGAAGAAACGTGTAATATGAAATCCCTGTAAATTTTAATAGTATCATTTTTTTTTTGGTTACAATTTTAATAGTATCACTTAAATTACGTACTCCCAATTCTCCTTTCAATTATTTTCTTATGTCTTTTACTTTTTTTTTCTTACCCAGTCACCCATTTAGATAAAATTTATTTTCAAATAATAAAGAAACCAAAAAATATTTAAATAATAAATTACTAAAATAATGTGACACAAATTAAAAAAGAAACAAAAAAATAAGCATATTGACAAGGATTAATACAAAACAGTTAAAATATAATAACAAATTTATTTTTGATAAATTACCAAAATCATTACATGACATGATCAAATAATAATATAGTTGTACTAAAGAAAAAATATATAAAAGAAGAGTTTGATGTTTCTCATTTTAAAGGATATAAAATTATATAATTTTAAGTGAGAAAAATATATACAATAAAAATTATGAGGGAGAAAATGAGAATTTTATATAATATAAATTTTAAATAAAATACTAATTTTAATTAAAATGATCATCTTTTAAAAGAGTAAATATTTTTTCCATAAAAAAAATGAGATTAATATTTCTTATATTATAGGAGAATCTTTTATCTTCTACTAGGGCCGGCAAAACTCCTCGCCTACTAAATGGGACATATCGAGTTGAGTTTTATAGTCCATTCTCAAAAGCGGAAAGGGTCAGATTAATTCATTTTTTGACAGGTTGATGATGAGCTAGTGTAAAAAAGGTTCGGGCTGATGGGCTAAGGCGAGACACTGACTTATTTTTTGGCGGGTTAATAATGAGATAAGCCGGACCGTCCACTTTGCCACCTCTATCTCCTATACATATAAGAGTGTATGTGCTCCATATGAGTTATGTGAAAAGAAGAAGAAAAAAAATATGGACCCTACATAGTTTTATACGTGTGTAGAAGATATAACTATCCCTATAATACAAGAAAGATTAATCCCAAAATAGTTACAAGTTTAAAATGGAATACTTGATAATACGATAAAATATCATAGATGATAATTTGGAGATAATAGAAAATATATAATTATTTTTCATACTAAACTTACCCAATTAAAAAATAACCCTATCTTAATTTTTTTTTAAAGCTAGTATTATTTAATTGCATTGGCTTACGCATCAGAGGTACTATTTTGGACCTTTCGTTTTTTGGATCTAGGGTTTCGGTTTCTCCTCTGACGACTTGATCTTTAAATTTCATCATCTTCAAACCCATCATCAAACCCTAGCTAGCTACCAGCGCCACCAAAACCACTGTAATTTCCGGCAACGGAATCTGAGATTCACGATCAAACGCATCGAGAAAGTGTTAGGGTTCTTGGAATATACATAGTACTGTTTTTTTTTTCCCAATCGCCGTCGCCATCATCACCTTCAATCACTGATCTAAAACTTCCCCTTGAAACAAAAGTGCCTAATATTTTTTATTTTATTTTATATACATATATTTCGTTGCTGGTAATGCAAAAATCAGATGAATCTTAAAGCATTCTTGACGGCGGTGATGAATACTACTACTTTTTCCCTTACTTATAAGGAATCTTGATGAAATTGCAAAGACTTTTGTGTTTGTGATTTGATTTGAAGGGAACAAAAAAAATGTATAAATCGGTGGTGTATCAAGGGGATGTGGTGTTGGGGGAGGTAGAGATATACCCAGAAGAGAACAACAACAAGAACATCGATGTGAAGGAAATCAGAATAAGCCACTTCTCTCAACCGAGTGAGAGGTGTCCTCCACTTGCTGTGCTTCACACCGTTACTTCATGTGGTGTTTGCTTCAAAATGGAGTCAAAGACACAACAGCAGGACGCGCTCTTTCACTTGCACTCCTTGTGTATCAGAGAGAACAAGGTAAAAAAAATAAAATGATTAAATTAAAAAAAAAAACCTCACTAAAACCCCATCTTCCAAAAGGATTTTGACTCTTGACAGAATCTGAGAGGACTTAAACTGGAATAATAACTCACGACTGTGTTAATCTTGTCAGAGTTTTTATAATAATTTGCCTGAACTTACCAAATCTGCTGTTTTGAACTCTGATATTGAAGGAACTGGCTAATTGGTCACTTAACATATACCCAGTATTCAGCATTACTTCTAAACTGAACAGGGTGTTATGATGCTTCTATGAGACTATTTCATGAATGATCTTACCAATCTCATGGCAGATGTTGCCAAGGGTTTGGTTGCTATGTTGAGAAGTACATGATGATAGTGAAATGTAGTATCTGTGCTGGTCAGCTGTTTAGGATTTTTGCTGAAGAAAGAATTTATTTAGTTTGCAGTCTAGAGTGTAGTATAATGTTTTCCTAACTTGAACCGAATGGCAAAACTGTCATTATGTATTGTTACTCAAAATATAAGTTGGGTTGTTTATGATATCATGGTAGGACAGTTAGCAATGGGAGCTATTCATGATTTTTTAGTGTGTTTAACTCTGCATATCTCATTGTTTTGGCACTGTATGTTACTTTAACATTTCCCCCACCTCCATTGGCTAATGACGTGTTTTTTTCTTTTTTTTTTTCTTTTTTGCATTGGTCGTTATTGTTTCTCAATTAAATTATAAGTGTTTATTTAGTTAACTTTTCGTCCCCATCAATTCTTGCTGGATTTTAACCATGGCTGGCTTGCAACGTACTGTATTTTTTTTTTTGCATTGGTCATTTTTGTTTTTCACTTAAATTATAAGTGGTTATCAGTTACCTTTGCTGGATTTTAACCATGGTCACAATATTGACCCCTGCAGACTGCTGTAATGCCACTAACTGGGGAAGAAATACATTTGGTTGCAATGCATTCGCGGAATAATGATAGACCATGTTTCTGGGGATTTATTGTTGCCTTGGGACTTTACAATTCATGCCTTGTGATGTTAAATCTTAGATGTTTGGGTATAGTTTTTGATCTGGATGAAACACTTATAGTAGCAAACACAATGCGCTCGTTTGAGGATAGAATTGATGCACTCCAGAGAAAAATAAACTCTGAGATAGATCCTCAACGAATTTCTGGTATGCAGGCAGAGATCAAGCGCTACCTAGATGACAAGAGTATATTGAAGCAATATGCTGAAAATGATCAGGTTGTTGATAATGGGAAAGTGATAAAAGTTCAATCTGAGATTGTTCCAGCATTATCTGACAGTCATCAGCCTATACTTCGACCACTGATACGGTTACAAGAAAAGAACATTATTCTGACACGCATCAATCCACAGGTATATAATTTTCTTTATCCAATCATTTAGTTGTATCTACTGCCACATCTTGGAATTGTGCATTTTATTCTAGATTTATTATTCTAATTCGGTCCTGCTTTCAAGTGACTTATTTCTCTATTGGATCAAGTAAACACTCAGTACTTTTTATTGCCATTGGCGTGACTTCTGCCTTATACTCTTGTTTGGAGAAGAGAATAATGTGATCTTCACATTATGGTGGTTTACACTGTCCTATGCCTTGAATGCTTTATTTGATCATGTAGATACAAACAGATAATCTGTGTTTCATCTATTTTCTTAAACCATATAAGCAGATAGGCTTGTCAAAATCATTAGTCTAACTAAAAATTGTATGTTTGGAAAGATTCGTGATACAAGTGTACTTGTGAGGTTGAGACCTGCATGGGAAGATCTTCGGAGCTACCTGACTGCAAGAGGGCGCAAGCGTTTTGAGGTTTATGTTTGCACAATGGCTGAAAGGGACTATGCACTAGAAATGTGGAGACTTCTTGATCCAGATTCAAATCTGATAAATTCTAAAGAACTTCTAGGTCGCATTGTATGTGTTAAGTCTGGTAAGTGACATGGTTGTTTTTGTATTCTGTTAGTTTGGTTTTCAATGAGAAGCTGTATATTTGTAGTGGATGGGAGCACCTACTAGAAGCAAATTGTGAGGATGAGGATATTTTTTAAAATTTACCCATATGACTTTGATATGGAGATGCAACTTGTCTATTGCGCTTTATCATTGTAGTATATATTATATGCCCATGTTTCTACAGTTGCTGTTTCATTTACTTATAATGCTTCTTTCTGTTTCCATAATATTATAATAGGTTTGAAGAAGTCACTGTTCAATGTCTTCCAAGATGGTTTATGCCATCCAAAGATGGCGTTGGTAATTGATGATCGCTTGAAAGTGTGGGATGAGAAAGATCAACCTCGAGTACATGTTGTCCCTGCATTCGCTCCATACTATGCTCCTCAAGCTGAAGTAAATTTGTTTTCTTATGTAGTTAGAAGCCCAATACCTTCAGTTGCATGTATGGAGTTTCATCCTTTTTTTGGTGATATGACCTGATTAAACTTATTTGTCTTGTAGGCAAGCAATTCTGTCCCTGTCTTGTGTGTTGCAAGAAATGTTGCTTGCAATGTTAGGGGTGGTTTCTTTAAGTAAGTTAATCCTTTTAAAAGTTATTTTGAACAGTTATTTCTACATGCGAAATGTGGGGGAAAATGCAGAGATTAACTTATTTTCCTTGCCTAACATGCAAAAACTCATGTAATAGTTAGTTCTTATTTTTGAGCAGTTTACTTTTCTCCAATCATTATAAAGGTAAATGGGATTCTAGGACTTGAATATGACTTCTGATTTGGTGACAGAGAATTTGATGATGGTCTTCTTCAAAAGATTCCTGAAGTTGCCTATGAAGATGATATCAGAGATATACCTTCTCCTCCTGATGTGAGCAATTATTTAGTTTCAGAGGTTAGTGTATGTCCATGTATAAGTATACACATGTTATTGCTTATGCTCTGCTGGGTATATACTATGATGAAATTCAAGTAGAATGTGTATTATTCAGTTTTCTGTCATATATATGTGTTTAACTGTTGATGTTTTACTGCTGAGCAGGATGATGGATCTTCTTGCAATGGAAACAGAGATCCTTTTTTATCTGATGGCATGGCAGATGCTGAAGTAGAAAGAAGATTAAAGGTATCAACCTGAGCTCTGAACAAATATATTGGAACTTTGATTTACCTATGATTATACTTGAAGCTTGTCTTATATGTTTTTTTGTGATTGTATTTGCTGCTAGGATGCAATATCAGCAGCTTTAACTATTCCTGCCACAACTGTTAATCTAGATCCCAGGCTCACTTCTTCTCTTCAATACACAATGGTGTCTTCTGGTTCAGTTCTGCCTTCAACGGCACAAGCATCTATGATGCAATTTCCTCATGTACAGTTCCCTCAAACTACTACTCTAGTTAAGCCAATGGGTCAAGTTGCCTCTTCAGAATCAAGCTTGCATAGTTCTCCTGCTAGAGAAGAAGGTGAAGTACCTGAATCAGAATTAGACCCAGATACAAGGCGCAGGCTTCTCATATTGCAACATGGACAAGATACTAGGGATCATGCATCTAGTGAACCTCCAATTCCCATTAGACCTCCCATTCAAGTTTCTGCTCCTCGTGTGCCATCACGTGGGGGATGGTTTCCTGTAGAAGAGGAGATTGATTCACAGCCACTAAATCGGGTAGTACCTAAAGAATTTCCTGTAGATTCTGATCCGATGCGTATTGAGAAGCAGCGGCCTCATCATTTGTCATTTTTCTCTAAGGTTGACAGTTCTATTTCATCCGATAGAATACCCCACGAGGGCTTCCAAAGATTGCCAAAGGAGGTAATGGCTGTGTGTCAGTCTAGCATCTAAGGTTTTGCAGGAGGGTCAGGCTTTTGCCTTATTTAAATTAATTAATTGTACTAAGACAATTTTTTTGCAGATGTATCGTAGAGATGATCGCCCAAGATTAAGTCATACGCTTTCTAATTATCATTCTTTATCTGGTAAGCTATAGCACTTGTTACTACGTGTTTGGTTGTTTCTCGTCAGTCTCTTCCCCAAGTATTCTTTTCCTATATTGATGGTTCTCTGCAGTTATTTCGCCCCGAGAATGTAATTATGAGTGAGCTTTTGTTTAAGTTGGTTCTATATTGAATTAAGGTTATTTCTTTTTTTCTTTCTTTCTTTTTGGATTATTCTTTTCTTGTGAAATCACAAATCTTTTTTTTTTTTTTGGTTGTCACAAGGATATACCTTTTCTATTTAATAAATTATCTTTTCAGATGATTTCCTTTTATTGTCCTTCATTTTCTTTTTCACTTGACGTAAGCTTTCAAAAAACTTTATATGAACTCAATGTTTTCTTATGGTCTCGTTTTTGTTTTGTTTTCTGATGGGGTGTTGTTAACTGTTTATTTATTTTTATTTTTATTTTTGTATTTTTTTTCCAGTTCTATTTGTTTTAATCTTATTATTAGAATGATATTATGTCATGGTTGTTATGAAGGTGATGACATCCCCTTCAGTAGGTCATCTTCTGGCCACAAGGATCTTGACACTGAATCTGGTCATTCGGTATTTCATGATGATACTCCGGCTGCAGTATTACAGGAAATTGCAATGAAGTGTGGAACTAAGGTGAGTTGAAATATGTTTGTCTGCTACAAAGTAATTAGATAGCATCATTGCTTAGTTTAAAATCTCCAATGTACTGTTTAAAGTTTCTTTTTCTTTTATACCAAAATGTTTCTTTGCTTTAACGTAACAGGTGGAATTTATGTCATCTTTGGTCACTAGCACAGAACTGCAATTCTCCATCGAGGTATCTTTAATTGTGGGCAGGAATTTTTTTTGATTTTCTACAGGAAATTAGAGTTATTTATGAATTAGTTTGATTTTCATTCATTCGGATAATTTTCTTTCTCGAATCAGTGAATCTGCTGTATGTGATATTTATTTTTCCCTATGCGTAATTAACTGGATGAAGTTGATTTTGTTCTACATAGTGGTGAACTGTACCAATTCTTTTGACTTCCATATACTTAACTCAGGGTTGGGTGTCCTAATGAGTAAATTTGGAATTGTTGATGTTATTGTTGTATCTGGAAAAACAAACTTATAAATTTAATACATTCTTTAAGTCAAAGGCTCAAAGTTGATTCCACCTAGCTTCCTGTAGAGTGATGTGACTTGATGAAAATTTATTGATATGCCTTGGTCAACTCATAATGGTCGTTTTTTATATGCAGGCATGGTTTTCTGGAAAAAAAGTTGGTCAAGGATTTGGCAGAACTAGAAAGGAAGCTCAACACAAGGCTGCTGAGGATTCTATCAAACATTTGGCTGGTAGGTTATTCTAAATTTTTGAATTGTAACATGCTACAACATTATCTAGCATTGTTTACTTTACAAAACTTAAAAATAGGTTGATAAGGAGTCCCACATTGTTGTACTGGTTTTATGTAATTGTTATAGTCGCTCTATATAATAGAGCCTCTGTTGTGCTATTGTTATACACATATTTCAATACATGCCTCTCAAGTCCTGATATTCAATATAGTATTAGAGCCGTACATCTTCAGTGACCTGTCTCCTAACTTTTCTGCTGCCGAGTTTCATAAAAATTCGAAAATCCGTTAATTGTTTCTTCACACGCTCACGCACTTATTTCTCCTACAAAAATGGCTGCAAAGGCAACTCAGGGATGCTAAATACGTTGGAGATATGAAAAATGTTGGAAAGATAACTTAGCAAGGTGGCTAAAACGACCATCAACCTGAAGAGCTAGTTGAAAAATATTGCATGACCAAAGAAGAAGAGACTTTGCAGGAATGACTATCAACGGAAATGTCTTGGCAAGCAAGTATACATAACAACTAAAACTTCTCCAAGTTCATCAAGAACAACATTTGGAAGTGTAAAGAATCTTGGGATACACCACCCCAAAAGCTAGCTCAAAAGGTGGGAGTGCTCAAAGCCTTATAAACTCCACATTAGTTGCACATACAACCAATGTGGGACTATATATCTCAACACGCCCCCTCACACGAGAGCCCATTGGGCTTGAAGAGTGGAAGATGCAACAGGCCCAACCTACCTGTGCTAAGAAAGTCCACAAGAGAAAGTGGGGGGCGGCGAGGCTCTGATACCATGTAAAGAATCTTGGGATACACCACCCCAAAAGCTAGCTCAAAGGGTGGGAGTGCCCAAAGCCTTATAAACTCCACATTAGTTGCACATACAACAAATGTGAGACTATATATCTCAACAAGAAGCTTCAACAAAACGAAAACTTAGGATACCCAACCAAAGCACGTCTAGGACCAAATTCGACGGGGCTAGAGTTCAACCAAAGCACCTAGGCCTCCCTCCACCTTATAGCTTAAGCTTATAAGATAGTTGTTCTTTTGACATTGTATCAAAGTCTCTTTGACCAAGTGGTCAAGAGTTTGAACCTTGCTGCCCCATACTTCATTATTAACTTAAAATTTAGCACAAGGTAAATATACATTGTACATGCTTCAAGCTTGAAAGGCTCTTGGATGAGGAGATATCTTAGAGATCTAAAATGGTGAAATCATTCTTGGGCTTCCACCTAAATTTTAAGCTTCTAGGAGAGTGGGTCCGAAAGATCTTTGTGTGGGTATGTTTGTTTTAAGCTAGGAAGAAAGAAAGTAAATTGATTTGGGGAAATGGATAGATTATAATATGATTTACAAATTCTATTCAGGTACTAAATGTAACCACCCGGTTGCGACACTAAACCATCTAAAATCTCCTATTAGACGCAAGTGTCAGATAATGATAAAACAAAGATAATTTTCAATGGCACACATGGCTTGGCAATGTTATCTAATGACCTTTTTCCTTTTTCTAAAAACTTATTTCAGTTAGAATTATGTCTTGACCTTTCTGAATGTTTTTGTAGATATATATTTATGTCGTGCTAAGGATGAGTCTGGTTCCACATATGGCGATGTGAGTGGTTTTCCTAATGCAAATGACAATGGTTATGTGGGTAATGTTAATTCTCTTGGTAATCAGCCATTTCCTAAAGAAGAGTCAGTCTCATTTTCAACTGCATCAGATCCATCAAGGGTTTTAGATCCTAGATTGGAAGTCTCTAAGAGGTCAATGGGTTCAGTCTCTGCCCTCAAAGAATTGGTAGGATTTTTAAGAATTCAACCAACATATTTTTTTCCCTCATATTTTTGTTAGCCTCTGGGAATGTTTGTGTTATTGATTTGCTATAACTTCTGCATTCAATTTCTTCAGTGTATGATGGAGGGTCTTGGTGTCAGTTTTCTATCTCCGCCTGCTCCAGTGTCAACAAATTCAGTTCAGAAAGATGAAGTACATGCTCAGGTTTGTAATCTAATGCTTCAGTGGTCTGAACTGATTGTGTTAAAAATACTAGTTTCATTGAATTGCAGATTGATTATGCCCCTCTTTTTCTAAACTGAGTCTTGTTTATTTATGTGTTTTAGTTCTTTATTCCTTCAATGGGCAGATTAAGATATACATTTTGCCGATGTTTTGATTTTTCTTTATATATTTGGTACATTAGGCAGTTTGGTGTCTCCAGGATGAATATCAGAATTAATGTTGCTTTCTCTTTATTTATGTGGTTTAAGTTAGAGATACATAAAACCGCCTCACCCAACAGTTTAAATTTTTGAGTTGAATTGATTTTTTATATGATATCAAAGCTCTGATGTTACGGGTTCGATCTTCACCGCTTCCACTTTCTCTTGTGGAATTTCTTAGCACAAGTAGGCTGAGCCTGATGCATCATCCACCCTTCAAGCCCAATGGGTTCTTGTGTGTGGGGTGTGTGTTAGAGATATATAAAACTATTAATGTAGTCTCACCCAACAGCTTAAGCTTTTGGGTTAAATTGGTTTTTTACAGTTTATGATTCTTATGTTTTGCTGCAAAGCCACCTATCACTAGGGTGTGTAGTAGGGGCACACCCAGGGGGAGCAGGGCTCACAAACAACTCAGATGGTGTGAGTTTGGAGGGAAAAACGGTTATGCTAAGAGAGTGTAAAAGGGAGTGAGTGGATTCATTGTGAGTAGCTTGGAGGAAAGTAAGAGAGTAGCAGAGAATCTGAGCCTCTCGAAAAGCTTATTGTAGTTTGGGTTTCTGCGTGTAATTCCATTGAGTGATTTATGAGTAGTTGCTGTACCTACTTCATATCAATAAAATTTCCTGTTTGCTGTTCTATTTTCTTATGATTGTCCAGATACCTTGCATATTTTTGAGGAGGGAAGTTGAAGGGTGAGTGTTGGATGGAAATTCCCTTTTACTAATTGGAATCTGGGCTCTGGTGTACAGTGTAGTAGTTTTGTTAACAGCATACTTGAAGCCTGTAGGGCTTGTAAACTATGTAAAGGAAGCCCTCTCTACCATAATACAATTCTGTCTTGTTTTCCCTGCATTGTGACATCGCTATTATGTTTTGGCATTTTCTAAAAAAAATAAAAAATCTCTGGCAGTATTTTAAACATTTTTTTCTATATTTTAGGTTGAAATAGATGGCCAGGTATTTGGTAAAGGGATCGGATTAACTTGGGATGAGGCTAAAATGCAGGTATACTGTTTTATTTAATTATGAAACATTATTTATTGAAGTTTGTTTTCTTCCTTGAATTTGATTAACTTCATCACACATGGTGTTGGAGCTCTAAGATGAATTCGTTCTTCAGGCTGCTGAGAAGGCACTTGGAAGTCTAAGAACAATGCTTGGTCAAAGCATTCAGAAACGGCAGAGTTCTCCCAGGTCTATTACTTTGAATAGCAGATTGTGTATATTTGATTTTATTTACATGTTTTATACCTTTATATTCTGTTGTAGCCCGTATTGGTTTCCTCCAAATTAAAGTTTATTTGGTGCAGCACGAGCTATCTTGTGTGCTATTGGTCATTATTATAAAGAAAACTGATTAGACAACGCCTATACAGATAGAATTGGCTTCTAACAATTGTTTGCTGATTTTTTTAATTTATTTTGTTACCCTCTTTCAGTATTCCTTTTAATAACTATTTTCTTACTATCTTACTGTTCATTACATCTGTTATGTGAATCAGGTCATTTCAGGGATTGTCGAACAAACGTTTGAAGCAAGAATATCCGCGAACTCTGCAGCGGATTCCCTCTTCGGCTAGATATCCCAGGAATGCTCCACCAATTCCTTGAAAAGTGTAAATGGGCTTTTGAATCTCACTTACTGGTATGACTCTTGATGGTGCATGTATATGTTACTGATTCATCAATATGGTGAGTGGTTGTTGGGTTGTGGACCATTTCCACTTAAGTGGGTAGGTACTTGGCCTCAGTCTTTTTGTTACTGAGCCAAAGCCAAATAGAGCACCCACTTGTGCCAATGTAAGATCCTCACCGAACTGGGGTCATATACTGGTCAAAGAGTGTGTTGAACAATATTCACATCTTGGTCCTCCCAGGCAATGCAGTATTGGTTGTGTATCCTGGAAATGCTATGCTTTTAGGCCGGTTCACAAGACAAGATGATGATTGATGAGGCAAGTCCCATGATTACTTGCATTTCTGTGGTTTGTATACTTGGTGCAGCATTCACAGAGGAACCAATTGGAATTGAGAATTGATTCAACGTTTTTCTAACTGAAGTAATGGTACAACCATTCAGTACAGGTCTTTTTGATGCATGGAAGTCGGTTTTCATTTAACCTAATCGGCTAATAGTTTTTCATTCCACTAATTCTATCACCACACACTCCTCTGAAGATTATTGACGGAGTCTTTGAGGTTGGTGAATTTGCATAGTGTTGTAACTCACACTGATGATGTATAATACAGTTTCTCAATTGTGATGATGATCTGTCAATTTTGTTCCAAAGTTTTTTGATGAGAGAATTTTTATGCAATATACATCTATCTCAAAATTAGTGATGTTTGAGCGTATCTTAATTGGTAATAAAACTTGATAATATCTAAATAAATGCTTTGGATTGACGGGAACGGGATGGTAATAACCGAGAATTCATACATTTTTTATTTACAGAAAAGATGATAAAGATATGTTGGCTGCTTCACTAATAAATGTTTCCAAACACTACAAAATACAAAATACAAATGTAAATGTATGGGGGTTCCAATTTTACTTTGTGAGTGGTTTGAACTTTGAATCGACAGATATTGTCTTCTGCGTCTAAGAAATCGTACACAGTATAGTCAGAAATTAAAAAGAGAAAATTCCAAATTAGTCTCTCTCTTTTTTAAAGATATTTCAATCGGTTTATCGTTTTGTGACTAGTTCGATTTGCAGCGGGTTTTGGAATTTAAACTTTAAATTTTTTCTAAAAATGATATTGGTGAGGATCAAGCACATTCTGAATTAATCTTTAAACAATATAAACGTAGGAGATATTAGTTACTGAAAGTTTAAATTGGAAAGGTGTGAACTTACTGATACTTAACCTGTATAAGTAGCATTTACATGCTTAGTTAGCACTCACATACTTTTATTTGAAATTTTAATAGCAGAAACAATTTTAATTAACTTCCATTAGAGGAAAGGACGTGGTGTAGCTATTTCCTGTGGTTGGGTGGTGCTGATGTAGCTATTTCAGTGGCATGGACATGGAGATGAGTAAAATGTTTGATAGGGTAGAAAATGACGTGATTTGTTTAACTTGTTGGATTTCATAACAAAAGAAAGAAGAAAAAGTATGTAAATAATATTGAGACAAGAAATTTCTTTACATCTCTTTGTTCTCTTCCTTTCTGATTCTCTCAAAAGGGGAGGGATAAGAAATTATGAGTCATATAGATTCTTTCTGAATGAATCCAAATCTTTCTCTTTTTACCCTCTTCTTCCTTTATACTGAAAAAGAAATGATATTTAATACTAAATGATAGTAATTTAGTTGGCATGGGATGAACAGGTGGGAGTGTGAGTATGTGTTCGATTCATAGTACCATATTTGGGAGGAGTTTAAAATCTTAATCCTGAATTTGACCGGAATAGAATTACCTCTCGTGGAGAATACATATAGTTTATAAAAAAGAAAGAAATAATGTCTAATTATTATTATTTTTTTTTTTTTTATTTTCCCTAGCAGAATGGCATCCTAAATAGTCCACGATTCATGGTAATACTACTGCTCTAGTGGACTACTCAATCTGACCACGTGATTGGTTCACCAATTTGAGTCAAAGTCTAATAACAATGACAAAATAAATGTGATGCCTGATACATTTTGACTTCTATGCATTGCTTTTGCAATTTTAATCCGGAAACAGTGAAGGTGAAAGGCTTTCCCATGAGTGTTGAGAGAGAAGGATAAACATCTTTGGAACTTTTAACATTCAAATTCAAATAGCCACTTGGATGATGCCGATACGTTTTAGATATAAGCAAAACTTTCAATCCTTGTAAAGAAAAGAAGGAAAAAAAAAGAGATAACAGTTGTATTTTTTTTAAAGAAATTGAACAAACAAAAATATCTAAATGTAAGTTGTGAGTTGTGATAGATGTGTGTCAATTTGACTCTGATTAACGCAACCATTCGAATCGGCCCACTAAAGATTGGGTCAAGTACGAACAAGTCCGTATCAGGCTTAATAGATTTCGGTTGAAATATTTTTGGTCTAGTTTTATAGCTGACTCAAATAGTTAAAATTTGTAAAATTTTGAAGACTAACTTACATCAAAGAGTTGATTAAAATTGGTATACCAAAAAAATAAAAAATTAGAAGAATTTTTTTTTTTCTTCCTTGTATGCCTTGGATACAGAAGGAATGTAAACGACGAAAACCAAAAAAAAGTACATGGAACACAATTTTGGGATACATGTCTATTTGATTGTATTTTTATTTTTACAACTATTTTATAGAATAGTTATAGAAATAGGTATTTTTTGTGGAGGAGGAATATTCTTACTACCAAAATCTTCTACTACTAACTCACTACTTATCAAATCATTATTGTATCAATATTTTCTCTTTTTTCAAAAATTTTTTAGCATTTTCTCTCTTTGATTCAATGATGATTAGATAGGTAGTAAGTTAGTAGTAAAAAATTTTGGTAATAAGAATATTCTTGAGAAGAATTGTAGTGCTCCTGCTCCATGAAATTTGAGATGCTCCTTCTCTCAAAACGGAGGGTCAAAATGAGAAAAGAAAAAAATGAGAGGGGTAAAAAGAGAAGAAAAAATTCACTCATGTGAGAGGGACCACTAAATAGTAAATAAATAATAAAGTGAGCCTGAATCACTTAATTATTTTTTTTTTGTGTGCTTTTTATTTTAAACAAAATAAAAAGAACTTAAATATATTTTTAAAAATAATATATCTCCATTCTCTTTTAAGTCGACATTTACCTTTTGTTCCGGAGGGAAGCTAGACGCTCCTCCCTTCCATTGCGTTTACTTTAGCATCCAGATATCTGTTCTTATGAATATGACTCTTATTCTTTTTTATTTACTAAGCCCCCTGACATAGGAAATTGAAGAGAGAAATAAAAAGAAGAGCGCGGAAACAAGACCTCCATAGCAGTGTAGCTGAGCTTCAATGGATGTTTGAAGTTGCTTGTGTTGTGTTATGTTATGATGAGGCATCTCAAGAACCTTCATACCAAGACCCTTCTGTTCTTTTCCTCATCCACCAGAACCTTCCACCCTCTTCACCATTCTAACAACAACAACAACTACTACTACCCTTTGATTCTCACTTTCCCTCAAACCATCAGAAGATTCTCCTATTCCTCCATGTTCCATAAATATTCGATTTTGATCCCACCCACTAAGACCCATCTCTATGCTTCATTCTTTTGCACCCTCATTCGCCTCTACTTGGCATGTGGCAGGTTCTGCTTAGCCTCTGATGCTTTCTTTTCCATGCGTGGTCTTGGTCTTGTTCCCTCTTTGCCTTTGTGGAATAAGCTTTTGTATGAATTCAATGCCTTTGGTTTGGTTTCTCAGGTAAAAGTGTTGTATTCCGAGCTGGTCTTTTGTGGGGTTGTGCCTGATGTTTTCACTGTTAACATATTGGTTCATTCGTTATGCAAAATGGGGGACTTGGATTTGGCTTTAGGGTATCTCAGGAAAGATAATGATATTGATATTGATATTGATACTGTTACCTATAATACTGTCATTTGGGGATTCTGTGAGCAGGGATTGACTGATCAGGGTTTTGGATTGTTGTCTGAAATGGTTAAAAAGGGTGTATGTGTTGATTCAATCACTTGCAATGTACTAGTTAAGGGGTATTGCCGAATTGGATTGGTTCAATATGCAGAGTGGGTCATTTACAACCTGGTCGATGGGGGGATTCCACAAGATGTTATAGGTCTAAACACCTTGATTGATGGGTACTGTGAAGCTGGGTTGATGAGTCATGCACTAGATTTGATGGAGAACAGTTGGAAGAATGGTGTCAATCCTGATATTGTTACTTATAATACTTTGCTCAATGCTTTTTGTAAAATGGATGATCTTGTAAGGGCCGAGTCTCTTATCAATGAAATTTTAGCCTTTCGGAGGGATGAAGAATCTGGTCAGTTAAAAAATTATGTTGTTGATACTCAGGATGAGATAAGAGATTTGCGGCCAACGGTTGTCACATACACTACATTGATTACTGCATACTGTAGGCATCATAGAATTGAAGAATCCCTTTTTCTGTATGAGCAAATGATTATGAATGGAATCATGCCTGATGTGGTTACTTGTAGTTCTATTCTTTATGGACTTTGCAGGCATGGTAAATTAATTGAAGCGGTGGTGTTGCTGAGAGAGATGTATGAAATGGGTTTAGATCCTAATCATGTCTCATACTCTACAATTATTAATTCTTTCTTCAAATCAGGGAGGGTAATAGAAGCTTTTAATCTTCAAAGCCAAATGGTTGTTCGGGGCGTTTCTTTTGATCTAATTATGTGCACAACTATGATGGATGGACTTTTCAAGGTTGGGAAATCTAAAGAAGCTGAGGAAATGTTCCAAAGCATTTTGAAGTTCAATCTAGTCCCAAACTGTGTCACGTATACAGCATTGCTTGATGGGTATTGCAAGCTAGGAGACATGGAGCTCGCAGAGTCAGTATTGCAAAAAATGGAGAAGGAACATATTCTTCCAAATGTTATTACTTTTTCTTCTATTATAAATGGATATACTAAAAGAGGAATGCTTAGTAAAGCAGTTGATGTGTTAAGGATGATGGTCCAAAGGAATATTATGCCAAATACTTTTGTTTATACAAATTTAATGGATGGCTATTTTAGGGCAGGTGAGCAGGAAGCTGCTGCTGGTTTCTATAAGGAAATGGAATCATGGGGATTGGAGGAAAACAACGTCATATTTGATGTCTTGTTAAACAACTTGAAAAGAGTTGGAAGGATGGAGGAAGCTCAGTCATTAATTAAAGATATGCACTCCAGGGGTATTAGCCCAGATATTGTTAACTACTCTTCTTTAATAGATGGCTACTTTAAAGAAGGAAACGAGTCAGCTGCTCTTTCCTTAGTCCAGGAAATGACAGCGAAAAACACACGGTTTGATGTTGTTGCTTACAATGCTTTGATTAAGGGACTTTTGAGGTTGGGGAAATATGAACCACAATCTGTGTTTTCAAGAATGATAGAGTTGGGTTTGGCTCCAGATTGTGTTACGTATAACACTCTAATTAACACATTCTGCATAAAAGGTAACACAGAGAATGCTTTGGATCTCTTGAAGGAGATGAAGAGCCACGGGATAATGCCAAATGTGGTCACTTATAACATTCTGATTGGTGGGCTTTGTAAAACTGGTGCAATTGAAAAAGCAATGGAGGTTTTGAATGAAATGTTGGTTATGGGGTTTGTACCTATGCCAGTTACTCACAAGTTTCTGCTTAAAGCATCTTCAAGGAGTAAAAAAGCAGATGCAATTTTGCAAATCCACAAGAAGCTTGTGGCTATGGGCCTCAAACTCGACCAGACTGTGTATAACACTTTAATCACTGTGTTATGCAGGTTAGGGATGACTAGAAAAGCAAATGTGGTGCTCAATGAAATGGTGACAAGAGGAATTTTAGCTGATATTGTTACTTATAATGCCCTTATTTGTGGTTACTGTACAGGCAGTCATGTGGAGAAGGCGTTTAATACTTATTCACAGATGTTGGTTAATGGAATCTCTCCAAATATTACGACTTACAATACCCTTTTAGGAGGTCTTTCAACTGCTGGTTTGATGAGAGAGGCAGATAAATTAGTTGGCGAGATGCAGGAAAGAGGACTTGTCCCAAATGCCACTACCTATAATATATTGATTTCTGGCCATGGTAGAGTTGGAAATAAACAGGATTCTATAAAACTTTATTGTGAAATGATAACCAAAGGTTTTGTTCCCACTACAGGAACATATAATGTGCTTATTAATGATTATGCAAAAGCAGGAAAGATGCGTCAAGCTAGAGAACTTTTGAACGAGATGCTGACACGAGGAAGAATTCCTAATTCTTCAACATATGACATTCTAATCTGTGGATGGTGCAAACTATCGTATCAGCCAGAGATGGACAAGGCACTTAAACTGTCATATCGGGCTGAGGCAAAAAAATTGCTGAGAGAGATGTGTGAAAAAGGACATGTGCCATCTGAGAGCACCCTCTTATATATCAGTTCAAATTTTTCTATACCAGGAAAAAAGGCTGATGCTAAAAGGTTGTTGAAGGTATTCACACAAAAGAAGAATGCATGACAGATGGTCTAATAGACAGACAATGAGATGATGTTAGACTGCTGCAACGATCAAAGTAAGTGATTGTAACCATTGCACTGTTCTTTTGTAATTTCAGTTTATTCAGCTATTTCCTTAATCATTTTGTCGTCAAAGAAACTCAATAGAGAATAAGAAAGATATCAACAAAGATCACTGGTTCCTTTACAATGATCTTCTTTGTTATTAGCTATGATATGTCTTTCAGCTAAAAAAATAAAAAACAAAGAGAAAGCTATGATATGTCAAAATTAAGATATCAGTTCATTGGTTGCCAAAATAACAGATATTTGAGTATGATTTGATAACTAATGCATTTAGGAAAACAGCATATTACAGTATTTTGCATTGATTGATGGGTTCATTGTATTTGATAGGAGGACCACAGCCACTCTCTTGGTCAGTGAGGATGAAAGTGGCCATTGGTGCTGCCAGAGGACTTTCTTTTCTTCACAATGTCAAATCGCAAGTCATATACCGTGATTTTAAAGCATCTAATATCCTACTAGATGCAGTAAGATCAATGAGGATTAAAATGATGTAATACTTTCTTCATCACTATTATATTATGAAAAATAATTCCTTATCATGCATTGATTTACAGGAGTTCAGTGCTAAACTCTCTGATTTTGGCTTAGCGAAGGCTGGCCCTACGGGTGATAGAACTCGTGTCTCTACTCAAGTCATGGGCACTCATGGATATGCTGCACCTAAATATATTGCAACAGGTATGCTTCAGCTTTGCATTAACTGTAAATGGTATTTTGCTTTGTTTCTAAGATTTATGGTTAGTAGTCTTTAATCATTTATGTCCATTTTAACATGCTACGTTGTACAAGTCAATCCTATGAGAGTCAAGGTATAAATCCGATCTATACTTCAGTTTCTTCTCTTAGTGTAAATTATAAATGTCTGGCAACCAACATGGCTTGTCACACTGATACCTAGTGCAATGGGGTTAATGATTTTCTGATGGCACCAGAAGATTAACAGATATTAATCTGGAAAACATATTGAAACTTGAATTGCAATTGAGTTCTTACAAACAGTGATTAACGCTCAACAATGAAACAGTACTCAGAATGGACTATTGACAACGGACCACTTGAGACACTTTAAAGGAAATTACAAATACTGAACCAGTAAAATACTCAGCTACTAACAATGGCTACACTCAACGAGGAAGAAAACCCCACTCCCCATCAAGCTACCCTTACTTTTCTTACAAACTTTCTAACTAACTTCCCTTACTACCTTTTTCCTATTTAGCCACTGATTCCCCTCTCCCATTCCCCTCCCACATGGTATGCCCCATTCAATGCCTGCCACGTGTGCTCTTTTATAACAAACTCTCTTGTTGTGCTTTTCTTCTCAACAGCCAGCACTATTTGTTTCACCAAGCCTTGGCCACCCGAAGAAGCAATGGGCTGATGTTGATCACCCAACGAATCTGCCATGGCCTGCACAGCTACTGTCATGGGCTGCTTGTCTGAATCTGCCACTGCAATGGGCTGATCACTATGGCCTTTATCTTTATTCTGCTTCCTCCTACGTTCATAAACCCATTTTAGGGGTCCAACATTTTCCTTCTGAATTCTAATCCATATGTTTTGTCAAAACAGGAAAATATGTGCCTCAACTTTTAGATTCTTTATGTTTTCTCTGTTGACTGTTCCATAGGATAGATCAGAAGCTAACTCATTTCACACGTCTCAATTTTTGTTAATAATCAAACTAAAGCTTTATATTTATTTTTCCTTTATCTGTTCTTGTTTTATAATTATTGGTCATTAATTGAACCCCAACTAATTTGGGATAAAGATAATGTTGATCTAACCGTACTAAAACTTTGGTTGACAGGTAGGTTGACAACCAAAAGTGATGTATACAGCTATGGGGTTGTGTTGCTTGAACTTTTTTTCCAGTAGATGCGCAGTTGATAGAACAAAAGCTGGTATAGAGCAGAATCTGGTAGACTGGGCAAAACCATATTTGGGTGACAAATGAAGACTATTTATTTAGGATTATGGACGCTAAGTTGGAGGGCCAATACCCTCACTCTTGCTGTAAAATGCCTTAGTGAACCCAAGGAAAGGCCTTCAATGACAGAGGTATTAGAAACATTGGAACAGATTGAAGTCCCTAAAAATACAGGGCGAAACTCCCAATCGGAACAGAAGAAAGTTGATGTTTCTATAAGAAAGTCTCCTGCAAAGAATCGTTCCTCTTTAAAGCATACTCCCACTGAATTCCCATTGCCATCTCCCAGACAATCTGCTCTTGTACACTAGACTTTGAACATAAAAAGGTGAATCTCGGTACATAAGGTTCCCCAACTTGCAAGAGTAAAAGTGAGGCTCCAAGATTCAAACCCGTGATCTTTCGATTACAAAGAGCAACCTTATCGCTGCTCCATACTCATAATCTACACTAAACTCTAAACATCTGTATATAGATTTCTTATCTTTATTAGGTTGTGTTTTTTTACAGGATATAATTAGGTATGTACTTAAGAGTCTTAGACGCAATTTTAATTGAATATGAACACTATTTACACATGCTATAGAAACTTTGCACAGCAATATTCTGCATGTTATTATTATTATTATTATTATTTTTGTGGTTTTCGTACTGAATGTTGGTTGATTATAGCTAATGTGATATTTGTACTACTTTTATGGAGACATTGCTTGCCAAGAGTTACATTAAAACTGTCCGCTTTATATAAGGTTGTTACACAAATGATTGAAGAAATAAACACAACATAAGCTATATGAAGGAGCGATGTTAATAAAAACGCACATGCTACATCCTTTTAGTTCTTTCAGCAGGAGGGAATGGAGTAAACTTATAGGTTCTTCCATGTGAGCTCTGTTTATCCAATCCCAACTTTTGCCTCCGTTTGTTCTAAATTAACCACAACTTCAGCTATTGTTGGTCGCTGCTGGGATTTAAAATAGAGGCAGTTGAGTATTAAAATCTCTAGCAGAACCAATCCAAAGCTGTGTACATCGGTTTTAAATGAGAAACATTCTTTGGCACATTAGGTACAGACAATGCTCTTCCACGGTGTCATTGAACATGTGTAACATCAATTACGTGGACCATGATTGTCTTACATGTACAACATTTAATTTTTTTCGTGCTAACCATGATTAGTATATTGGATAGGGGAAGACAACAATAATTTTCATTGCTGATTTAGTACATATTAAGTGGTTAAGTGTGTGAGCGGTGTCTTACACAGTTACATCAACTGTAGTATCGAGACTTGAAAGTAGTTTCTAAATTGTATTAGAGTATTAGTGAACCAGTAATTAGAGGATTTGTACTAAACCACTGTCAAAAAAATTAAAATAATGCTTTTTAATTAAATAATTACGTATTTATTGCAGCTTTGAAAATAATTACGGATGTATTGCACAATGTGACGCCTCATTGAGGCGTCTCACCCTAAGGGGAGACGCCTCAATAGGGCGTCACATGTGACGCCCAAAAGGGGCGTCTCATGTGTGTCCTATAAATATCTCATTTTTTACCATTTCACTCCTCACTTTTCACCTCTCTCTAACCTTGGATTATGCTCCTGACTGAACGCGAAACTTTTGATTGCGAAGCTTTGCCAACTTAGGTAAGTTCGTAATACCTGCTATGTATACGTTTAAATTACAGTGCTACCTTGCGAACATGTTAGAATTTATCGTATATTAGAGACTTAGAACATTAGGATAGTCACTTAGAAATTTTGTACCATGCTTTAGATTTAGTAATGATATAGTAATTTGTTTGCTACTTTGCAAACATGTTAGGATTTATCGTATATTAGAGACTTAGAACATTAGGATAGTCACTTAGAAATTTTGTACCATGCTTTAGAATCTTGTGATGCTATAGTAATTTTTTTGTTACGTAGTTATGATTATTAATATTTAATTATGCATTGGGGTTTAACGTATGAATTAGTGATTTAGAAAATAGTGATAGTGACTTCGTAAATTTTGTATAATGTTATTAATGCGGGAGTGTATTGATAATTATGTAGTCAGTTAGGTGTGATGATTAGTACATATTTATGAAGTTATGAGTGACTTAGGGTTAAGTATTATGTCAGTATGATTTAATTTGTATCCGATGTTTTATTATTATTTAATTACAAATAAATGACTGTACTACTTATTAATATTATTTCATTAATTTCGATTATAGTAAAAACGTAGGGTTTATGCTTAATTTTTTTATAATAAACTACGGCATTGCTTAATTAATTTGTACATACAAAATGTTGTGTCATTTGATTAATTTAATTATTGATTATTAATATTATATAATTTAGGGTCATGGTTGAATTATCATCATCTTCGGGTGGTGGATCGGATGCAGAGCCTACCGATCCCAACATGTATATCATCCCTGGCCCTTATAGATGGGACGTCCTTCGTAAGAGGACGCAGCGTGCCCATATTTCACAACGAGTGTGGAATACGGAGCATGTGAGGAGACTCAAGACCCGGCGTGGGAAACCACAGGGTGGGCCACCTACCAGGGCTATTCCAGAGGTGGTCACACACTACCTTACACAGGCAGGCTTTATCCATGTTGCCCGGATGCGACATCTCCAGGTATGCAATTTACGACTGTTTTGTATTTATGTAATTATTCAATATCATTCGTTAACACGTGATAATTGTATAATTAATTTCATATCGATGCCCCGTTAATTAGTGCTCTGGTCGAGAGGTGGAGACCAGAGACACATACCTTCCACATGACGCAAGGTGAGATGACTATCACCTTACAGGATGTGGCCGGCATATTGGGATTGCCTACTGACGGGAAAGTCGTTACCGGATCTACAAATGAGGATTGGCCCGCTGTTTGTGCTGCTGCTTTTGGCGCGGCTCCACAGGCCAATGAGTTCCATCATTCAGGTGACCTCCGCATCTCATTCTTAGATCGGTTATATACCTGGTGGACTGATCATGCTGGGGATCATGATCGCGAGATATTTTTCACAAAGGCGCATATTGCTTGCATGCTGGGGTGTTGGTTGCTGGCGGACAAGTCTGGAGGTAGCAATATCGGTTGTCGGCTAGTCTCGTTGCCGGGGGGAGGATTTGATGAGATTGGTCGTTTCAGCTGGGGATCTGCGGTTCTGACACACTTGTTCAGGAACTTGTCCGAAGTAACAGATGCCGGTCGATCAGACATGGGTGGTTGCCATATTCTTCTTCAGATTTGGGCATGGGTACGATTTCCACCCATTGCTCCATCCATTCTTCCTCATGCAGAGCTGGGCTTGCAATATGGATGCCGGTATGCTTTATTAGTTTTATTCAATTTCGCTACTGAGTTATCATATATACTAACTGTACACTTGCTTGATTATGATTGATTGATGATGTATGTTTCTGATGACAGGTTTAATACGGTGGCAAAGTTTAAACCTCATGAGGTCACCCATTATCGGGCAACCTTGGATACACTATGTAGAGATGAGGAACGGTTTTGGATACTTAATATGTTGTTATTTCATAATGCATGTATCTTTTTGACATGTCACCATACACCATATATTCTTTACCATTTTGTGTGTAGGTTGTTTGGCAACCATATATCGATTATCAGTGGCTGGACGTGACTCCAGAGCAGCAATACCTTTGGCTTGCTGTCGGACCCCTTATTTACTTCCACACCGTAGAGGCATGTCAACCGGACAGGTGCATGCGACAGTTTGGTCTGGATCAGCCCATCCCGGATGTGAGCAGGAAGTTGAGAGGGATCCATGATCATACGCTGCAGGGGAAGGTTGACGAGAACTAGAGGCGTAAGCTTCGTCCATGGATACAAAGATGGCAGGTCAGGGAGCAGCATATCGTTCTTCCCCCTCATTTACTAGGGTTGATGTCACCCAACCATGAGTACCTGGAGTGGTACAGAGCGAGGGGAAAGAGATACATTTCTCGCAGGGCAGCAAAGATTGGACGAATGGTGAGTTTATGACAAATTTTAGCTTGTTGTTACGTATTTGACTATTCTTTGACATTGCTAACAATTTTTTATGCTACAGATTGAAGGTCTAGAGATGCTGCATCATGCAACAACCGCAGAGGATTTTCCTCGCTTCGACTTAGACTATATCCATGAGGAGATTGGCAGGATTATTGGCATGTTTCGTGAGAATTCACAAGTCGATGAGCCAGGACCTGAGGCACCCCCAGTGCAGACACAACCTGATCCGCAGTTGTCCGTGGATGTTCCCCGTAATAGACAGGAGGGACACAGATTAGGACGTACGCGTGAGCGAGTAGCAGTTGTCCCTGTTCCGATCATTGCACCGATGCCAGTGGTCGAGAGTCAGGGATGGTTCAGACCTCCAGTCATTGGGACTACTTACGGGTCACAGCCGATGTATCATCACGGATTGCAGGATGCGGGTGGTCCTAGCCAGCCGGAGTCTCAGCACCCATACATGGATTCACAAAAGCCAATTTTCCAGGCCAGTCCCATGGCTATGGCTGGGGCCGAGCAGGCATACTCACAGCCTTACTCACAGCCATTTTCTCAAGGGCTTGATGCTGACATGGAGGGTTGGTTTGCTGAGGATACCCAGAACGTGTGGAGAGAGCTAGGCCTTTGACTAATCTATGAAAGATCCAAATTTAAATATGTCAAATAAATTTCCAATCCCAATGATAAAAATAATAATAAAATTTCAATCAGTTCAATGGGAAAATTAGTGAAGTGATCAGGCAACCGGTTCAAACCAAAATTGAACGATCAGAGAATTAAACTGACCTGTTCAAAATTGGTTACTAATAAGTGATTAAAGTTAGTTTCAACTAGTTTTTTGTTTAATTTTTTATTTACTATGAAAATATATTTTTTGAGACTAATAAAGGTCCACATACAGGTTCCAGTATGGATTGTTATTATTTAGGTTTTTTTATCATGGATTCTTTCATCTTACAACATTTATAAAATGTTTTTATACTAAAATTTTACTTAATTTAATCTCTTATAATTTTATGTTAGTTTATTATTTTATATTTTAAAAATATATATTTAATTACAACTAGTTTGATAACGGTTCAACCACGCTTAGATAAATAAATCATAAACTAGTATTTTTTACCGGTTTAATGACCAAAACAAAATTTGAAACAGTAATGGGTTTATCCCGACTAGTCCGATGCAGAAACTATGTTATACATCATGTGTACACAAAATTTGTTCTCCTTTGGATGAACTTAATTAAAATAGTTCGTTCATTCACGAGGTCCAGTGGCGGAGCCACGTTGGTGCCAGCAGGTACCTTGGCACTGACTAATTTAGCCACGTTTATTTAGCTATGCTTAAAACGTAGTAAATGTTTCAATTTTTTTGAAAATTAATCACGTTTCGTTTGTAACTATATAACCGTGGCACCAGATGAATTTTTTGGCACCAGTTGAAATGCTTTGCTGGCTCCGCCACTGACGAGGTCTATATATGACATCTATTTTGTGGTCCAGTCAACAAATAAATAAAATAAAAAATAACAATTAATCAGGGTTTGTGAAAAATCTTACAAAAAGCCCTAACAATGATCAGGGCAAGTGTCAAATCATAAAATTTATTGTACCATAAGTAGGGATGAAAGTGGGCTGGGCTAGATCAAACTTTGTCCTGAAAAACCCAAGCCTATGCCAAAAAATTTCAGTTTGGCCTAGCTCAAGCCTAGTACGAGTCTAACTGTTAGCCTGGCTTGACCCGTTTATACAAAAACAAATGGCCTAGCCTAGTCCATTAGCATGTTAAATTTTAACTTTCAAACAGATCCATGAATTAATTTTATAAAATACTCAAATTCTGTTGCTAAACCAAAAATCATAATTTCAACGGTCTAAACAGAATCATGAATCACAACAAAACTCATACAATCTGCATTTAATTAAGTCACTTTCGAAAGCAAATTGCTCAAACTAAATAACATATATTTTATAAGATCCAACAAACAAATTCATACTATATAAATTAAAGTAATTACATGAATCCAACAAACACATCATGATGCTTGTAGTAAGTATAACCTCTCTCAAAAACTTTTTAATATATTCATATACACAATCTAACATGCTGAGATGTTGGTTCCTCCTAAAATATAATCGAATATGATTAAGTTATAAATAATTACAATTGATTAAATTTATATCTTTTATTTTTCCTTCAAGGCATACTTATTTTATTTTATTTTATTTAAAATAAATAGTATAATATATGCCGACTTGTAGGCTTATAGGCCAGGGCTTGTGAAAGTATTAAACAAGCTTTTTCAAGGTAAGTCTGGCCTATTTCATGAAATATACTAGGTCAAGTCTGACCTGACGTAAGATGAGTCGTAGACCCCTGTAGGCCGGCCCGACCCAGTTTCACCCCTAACCATCAGGCAATGTCTCCGGCTTCACAACAAAATCCTAAATCACGAGCGGAAAAAATAGTGAGCTGAATCGAACAAATTCATGTTGGGAACTCGGTTCCCTCAAGCTCGGCTAAGCAGCCTTTTGCGGAAGTCAGTCAAAAAGATCCTGGATCTCAGATCTCGGCAATACCTCGGCCTGAACTTCACCAAGTCGGGCAGCGCAGCGGAAAATCAAAACGAAAAACGGGAGAGAGAGAAGAAGGAGAGAGAGAGAGAACACAAGCAGTTTTTAACGTGGGAAAACCTTCTCCAATGAAGAAGTAAAAACTCACAGGACCTAGTCCAGATCAAAAATCCACTATGAAAATAATTGTTACAAATAATCAGAATTACCAATGTGGTGGTTAACTCAACCTCTCCAACAATGGTGATAATCAAACCTCCCTAGAGATGTTTCACTCAAACTCTCTCTAGAGATCTCTCAAATATAAAGCATAAAGCTTTTCTCAAACAATTTTCTCTCAAATTTATAATCTCTCTCTTAATCTCTAACCTAGCCTCCACCCACAACTAATGAATATATAGAGGAGGTGAGATATAGGTTTAGGGTTTTTTTAGGAAACCCCTCAATGGGCTTGGGCTTAGCATTGAAGGAGGAAGCCCAACAAATCTCCCCCTCCGACTTCAATGCGTCGGCTTCAGCATCAACCCGACTCCTTCACAGCAGTCTTTAAATTTCCTTGCTGGAACCGACTTTGTCACCATGTCGGACCAATTCTGGTCAGTGTGCACTTTGACGAGTTCGAGCTCTCCACCTTCCACCACATCCCGGATCCAGTGATACCTCACATCAATATGCTTAGTACGGGAGTAATAGGTCGAATTCTTCGCAAGATGGATTACGCTTTGATTGTCACAACCCAGCTCGTACTTGTCTTGATCATAGCCGAGTTCCATGAGGAACTTCTTCATCCACAACATCTCTTTGCTTGCCTCAGTAACGACAATGTACTCAGCCTAAGTTATCGATAGTGCAACGCATTTCTGAAGTCTTGATTGCCAAGAGACAGCTCCTCCGGCAAATCTCATCATATATCCCGTTGTCGATTTCCTCGAGTCGAAATATCCCCCTAAATCAGAATCCGAGTAACCTTGCAACACATCTATTCCTTCTTCAAATCGGAGACATAAGTCGGTCGTACATCGGAGGTACTTGAATATCCACTTCCCTGCTTTCCAGTGCTCTTTGCCGGGGTTTGACAGATACCAGCTTACCATTCCAACAGCATACGCCAAGTCGGGTCTAGTGCAAACCATTGCATACATCAAGCTTCCGACTGCGGATTGGTATGGGACCTTAATCATCTCATCTTTGTCTTCATCAGATCTCGGACATTGCTTCTGGTTCAACTTTATATGTCCGGCTAGGGGGAGGCTCATTGATTTGGCTTTGTCCATGCTGAATCTCTTCAGAATCTTCTCAATATATTTCTCTTGACTCAGCCACAGTAGCTTCTTTTGTCTATCTCGGATAATCTTGATTCCGAGAATCTGCTTTGCAGGACCGAGGTCCTTCATTGCGAAGGACGAGTTCAACGCTTTTTTCAGGGCGACTATCCTCGATTTGTCTTTCCCTACAATAAGTATGTCGTCAACATATAACAACAATATCAGAAAATCTCCGGCCTCATACCTCTTCACAAATACGCAGTGGTCGGCTTCTGTCTTCTCAAACTTGTGATCAGTCATGAATGATTCAAACTTCTTGTACCACTGCCGAGGTGCTTGCTTCAAGCCATAGAGACTCTTCTTCAATCGACATACCAAGTCTTCTTGGTCTGGAGCTCGAAACCCTTCAGGTTGCTTCATATAAATTTCTTCTTCTAAATCACCGTGAAGAAATGCCGTCTTCACGTTCATTTGTTCTACCTCGAGGTCCATCGAAGCCGCCATGGTTAACACGGTTCGGACCGAGGTCATTTTCACCACAGGAGAAAAAATCTCCTCAAAATCTACTCTTTTCTTCTGATTGAAGCTTTTCATTACAATTAGGGCTTTGTATCTCGGCTTCAGCCCGTTCACTTCATTCTTAATCTTGTAGACCCATTTATTTTTCAGAGCTCGTCTTCCTTCAGGCAACTCGGTCAACTCATAAGTCTGTTTCTCGTGCAGAGACTTCATCTCGTCTTACATTGCCTTTTCCCATTCTTCTTTCTCTGAGCTCGTTACAGCCTCATCATAACTCTGAGGCTCACCGTCTTCAGCAACAACAGTGTATTCATCAGATGGGTACCTTGTAGAGGGTCTTCTTTCTCGAGTTGGATATCTCGGTTGTTCTTTATCTTGAGAACCCGGATCATCATTTTCATTCTGGATCTCATCTTCAACTCGGACCTCAGTGTCTTGGTCATCATCAACTTGT